TGAATGAGTGAATGAATGAATGAACGAGTGAATGAGTGAATGAATGAATGAACGAGTGCATGAGTGAATGAATGAATGGTGATGATGACGATGAATGAATGAATGATGAATGATGAATGACAAACGATTGAATGAATGAATGAATGGATGGGTGAATGAATGGATGAATGAATGAATGAGTGAATGAAATGAATGAATGAATGAATGGATGGAGAATGAATGAATGAATGAATGAATAAATGAATGGATGATGATAGTGAATGCATGTCCAATGTATTTGGAGCGATTGCTGTTGCAGTCATTTGGAAGATTTTGCAGTTTTAGGATAGTAACTCAGTAACTCATGATTAATTCATTTAATTTTGCAAAATTCATACTAAGAATATGAGAAATAATCATCGATTGATAGATTAACAACCGAGTGGAGTGGGACCGTTTTATAGCTGAGGACGTCCTATAAAACTGGAAATAGTTCATTTACCGGCACTCTTTCAAGAATTGGAACTGCTCGAAAAATAGGAAATTACATTGTCACAAATCCGATAATTCATTAAAATTTATTTTAAATTTAGCTTTTCAGAGAGAAACAGCAGGAAGTGGGAACCAGAAAAACAAAAGTTTGAGCTTAACTTATCCATTCTAACTGAATGGAATTGATGCATATCTTCACCTAGAAAAAAGTTCGAGCAGGGAAGTTTATCAATGGTGTACCTCTCGCCCATTTATTCATTTTCGAAATGAATACTCCTCACAAAACAAGTCGTATGAGTCATCATAACCATTAGTCTCATGTTTGAGATGTGTGTATGTGTATGTGTATGCATATATGTATGTATGTATGTGTGTATGTGTGTGTATGCGAGATAAAATAGAAATTTGACGTTGACTCGATGCCGAGGTGACATCGAGTCAGCTAAAGGCTTAACCGCTCATTTAATTTGATAATTGGTTTCTACAGTGTGAGATTTAATTCGCATTTCTCTTCACCTACAACTGTTGACTTCGTTAACTACTGGAATCGAAACGAATTGATTGGGAATTACAGGAAGTGATGAAAACTCGAGGATAATTTCTCCTTTCTCTTCTCTTCTTATCTCTTCCTCTCTCTCTCTCTCTCTCTTTTGCCCTTTCCCTTTCTCTTCTTCGTCAGTCAACACAGAACAAATAGTTCGCTTCTTCCGATCAAACTGTGACTTAGAATTTGATCGGAAAGTTCAAGCTTATTTATTCGCGTCGAATGAAATTTCAGTTCAATATGAGATGAGATATACAAGTGAAACGAGAACAAAGGTATGTTTTAATCGATCTAGCAGTAGTGCTATCGTCAACATCTTCGATGATGAGGAGAGAAGAGAAGGGTGTTGTGAGGGAAAGGATCAATCGGGCGCATTCGTTCAGGGGCTTCATTCCACATCTTGCAAACGGCTACATTTTGTTTGTGGCGGCTTTGAACCACACTACCTGCCTTACCCATTACCTTATCTCACCACTGATCCATCAATGGTCATATGATAGTCATCGATTCTGTCGCATTTTTTGTTTATTTTCTCTCTCCCTCTCTCTCCCCTCCTCTCTCTTTCTCTCGATATATATATGCATGTGAGATTTTATATATAAACAAGTAAGGATCCACCTCCAGTTGTGTCTGTACACTATGAGTAGTTAGTGAGTGCTCTTTCTCTCTGTTTGACGCACTCATTTCATTTTATCAAGTTTTTGGTGTGCAATTGATAAAAATGAGTCAACTTATTCACTAAAAGTTTGAGGTAACAAGTCAACTCACTGCACTTTATCCGGCAAAATGTTGGTTAGATTCTGTAATGTAAGGGTCACTGTAAAGAAGGGTTGGTCATGCTGTGAGAAGGTAGGGATTTTAATTCCCTTAAAAGATTCAGTTGGCTACATGCTTCATGATAACATCCTCGCCTTCAGTCTGTCTGAGTCTTCATTTGGAGATTCTTGAAAAGATTTGCGCCATCGAATTCATCTGTCTAAGATTTCGGAAAAAGACCAATTAAAACGCTTTCGAAAGAAAAATTTATAAAAAATCCCTCTGATTGTCTTACAATCCAGCAGTCTCTCATCATTTTCCTATGCGCTTATTTGATGCTTTGCTTTTCAGCGAATCACCTAATAACATTGAAATTGTAGTGGAGGTCTTCTAATTTTTAAATTCTTAATTTTAAAATTCCAAGATTTTTGATTTTTAATTAATACACTCATTTTTATTTCATAAAAGACTACTTATTTATCAGGTGGACTTTTAATAATTAGATGGCATTTGAGCCCAAGGAGACATCTTTCAGTGGAAATTTGAAAAAGTTAGAATTAGACAATTTGGACTTTGTTAATTTGAACTATCGTTTGCTTAATCTCTAAGTGGCTAACGTCCATTGTCATCTTTTGATGGTGCCTATAATGCAGGTGAATCAGTGATTGAGACTTTAATCGAAATTTCCATTTCAGTATTTCTTGACTACTCACTTAATCGTAATATATGTCGGCAAAAAACCTGGAAGAGATGCCCGAGGTGGCAATTTATTAGCCAGACAATTATCTTGCCGTAATCAGAATTAAAGTTTTAATAGATACATAAGTTACATAACCGTATGCTGGTAGCAATTATGGATCAGAATTAGAAGCGAAAAAAAGTGATAATGTCATAATAACTTCACGCATAAAATCGACGCGAAATTTTCTTATCATGAAAATAAAATCCTTTGTTAAAAATTATCATTCCTGGTTGTACAGTGTTCTCGGAATGATGTTTGTGATACAATATGTGGGTATATAATATCGATTTACATGGTTCATCTGATGGAGACTATAACGGGCTTTCCATCAGCATACAGTGCGACTCAAAGCGACTTACCTTTGAAGCCACATCTGAGAGTTTTTCTTTAATTGCTCGTGTGTTCTGCATCTCCTTTTATCCAAGCACTCATTATTCTTATACTTTTTGTAACCTTTGTTTGATGTAAACATTAACGATAGAGCTTGAAGTGTTTTTTTTCTTCAAGAAGTATTTTTTGAAGAGGAAAGATCGATTTGTTTAGAACATTTGCTCACTTTTTCCTTGTGTACATGGAAGGTTACAATTAAAAGTGTCAGCTGTCTTCCTGACATTGAACCAATTAACTAAATGAGTAACAGGCAGGCAATTCCTGAAAGTGATATACGGTTGCAAACATGGTTTCTTTCAATTTTCCAATACGCAAAAGGCAAAGGTACTGTTACTTCCATGCCATTGATTGGTTTTATAAATGGAATACAAAATTTGCCGAGTTGATTTTTTTCCGGAGAGTCACATCATCCATTGTCGAAGAGCAATTGCCATCTCTTGCTTTAACTTGTTCAACTAAATTTTCTTTCTCAGAATTTTTGAATTCTTTCTCTTAAATGGTTGCTGCTAATTTCTCACATTTGGTTACGTGGATGATAAGTTGATGAGAAAATAAACAACGTTTTCATTGACGTTTGAATTCCATCAACGTGTGGATTCATCTGTAATTAGGGAATCAAGTCCGAATGATTCCACCATATTCTACCATGCCTTGGGAGAGATCTCACTCTGGTGCGGAGTTTGAGTGCTAATCTTGATGGGATTAAAGGTGTCGTAAGTTCACTCCCCTCACTTTTAAAGAATTTTATTTCTCCTTACAAAAGAACTAACTTTTCTGTTGTTATTAGTAAGGCATCACTGCCCAGTATTTATTACACTGTGCTTCCCGCTTTTGTTTCGTAATTTATCATTCGCCCTTCGTTTTCTTATCCAATTCCCTTTGACGTTCTTGGCCACATATTTGGCATCATTTTCTGTGGCACTAATGATAAGTATATGGCCAAGTCACAACAGAAAAACGACATGCAGAAATTGGCATATATCTCAGTATAAATGTCAGCGTTTACGACAGACGTTTGGTACATTAAACTGGAAAAGTGAGCCATGTCAGCCATATCCTTCGGTTGTGTTCTGGGCCATAATCCACTGGTTGGTTACAATAAAGGGGAGATGCCTTCTGTAAAACAGTCATTATTTTCATTATGTTGTAATTTCTCATTTTTTTGTTTGCAGTTAGCCATTTCCGTTATGTTCCTTTCCCAGTTTTTCCATCTTCTGATTATTTGTCACCAAGCATGCATACAGTCATCGCTTAGTCAACGACCGGTTCTGTTTATTATCTATGTGTTATGTGTTCACTTGGCCCACTCCTTCTTTCTTTCGTCGCTTTCTCCTTGCAACATAAGTGCGGAAAAGCTAGTTTTTTTTTTTTTTTTTAAATGAAAAAACTAAGGGAAATCTTGCTGTTGTACTTGAGGAAGTGCCTGTGCTTGAGGATCAAACTGATACTATAGAAACTCGCAGTTGTCCAATTGCCCATCGCTTCTTGTTTTCGATATAGATAAGTGTAGCACCGGGAAATACTATCACATGAATTGTGAGAGGATAAATTTGACAAGTAATTTGTTTATATAAACAAATAGTTAATAGTTCCTTTTTTTTTCAATTTGAACTGATGACATAAGGGCTTGGTCAGGATTAAAAAAAGACTTGGTTAGGATTATAATAAAGATAGGGACAAAAGGAAAAGAGAGATCTTTTCTCTCTCTGGAAATTATAAACTATTAAAGAGCAATGCTTGTTGTATTTGATTTGCTTTTTAAGTGATGGCTGAACTTTCCTTATACAATCGTCATCTGCTCTCTCCCTTTTATCATCCTTCTTGATTTCGTTAAATGGATAACTTTTTATCCTTTACCCATAATATTTAAATAACTTTGACCTTCCATTTTGTTGACTTCCTTACACCGAACTTTTATTCATTGAAATTGCACGTTTTTAAAAAGCATTGATTAAACGATACTCCTCATTTCTTTCATTAACTCTTGTTATTTATAGGATGGATGATTGTCGTTCGACTCGTTCACCATCCATTTCGAGCTTCGACACCAATCATTCGTCATGGAGTTTCGTTGGGGAGGATGATTTCGATTTGTTAGATGTAAGTTTCGTCTACCGATTAAAGTGTTTTTGATATTTGGTATCATAGGTTTACATATGAATGTGATTGTTACTGTGATAAGATTTGAAATTCCAGCAAGACGAAGATGATTCAGCATCAGAAGATGAGGTGAATGAAATGGAAGATGATAAGCAGGTCGAAGAGGATGACGAAGAAAATGAGGATAATATAGATGATGATGATGATGATGATATTTCTGTGGTTACTGAAGAAGTGCTAAAGGATCCTTCTGCGCTCGCATGCACTGATGTTGTCAAAGTATCCAAGCAAATGGATAAATTATGTAAGCTTATTTCCGAGTGCCAATTTTATCAAATTTTGTCAACATCTTGTAAGACAATGGCCACGATGTTTAGACTAATCCAGTGTGTTTATGTATGTACAGGAGAGTGACCACACGCGTGACCACACTCGTTCTTCAATCATGCATGCTTTTTCGGGTGACATAATGCCTAATGTTTTGTTAAAATGGTTAGATTCCCATTTCAGTGTACGCAGTTGACATTCAGGGAATAGAGGCCAAAAAATGTTTTGTAACTGATTTCTTCATTGTGAAACGGAAAATCATTCCTCGGTTCAAATTTAAAATTTCGAATCAGTGAAAACTACTGGTACAACTTTTCGAAAGGCATTTTTTTGAATACCATTGATTTTTGTTTTTTCAATTTTAGTTCACTTCCTAACAAATGGAAGCAGATAAAGTTTAAAGCAATTGGGTTTACGCTACGTCTGTACGTAACATGCAGGACAGTTTCAATACCGTTCATTTTAAATGTATGGTGATAGCACATTAATATATGCACACTGAGTGATTTGAATAATTTTGGTTTTATAACAGCTGAGGATTTCAGACATTTCATCTCACAAAGAAGATGAAAACAGATCATGTTTATTCGTTGAAATGATTAGAGAACTTGAAAATATTGTTAATTTCTTTTCTAGCGAAATGTTTTGATTCACCATTTACTCACATATTGGAAGATTTTATTTTGGAACGAAATGTCAGGTTTATGGCAATCATTCCAGCTGTTGCTATCGCTATCGTCATATTCTACTATGCATTCGGTATTTTCTTTTACAAATTTAGAACGATTCGTCGCATTTTGATCTTATCAAAATTGGCACATGGTTTGTGTATCATTCTTGTGGGATTTCAGTACAGTATCGCAATCATGTGAGTGGACAAAATTTTAGTTAGCATGATTATGCGCTTCAGTTCTTCTGTTTTTGAGTTCATCTTTGTTTTGTGAAATTTCTTCCCATAAATTCTGACTTCGTTCTACAGTTGTCAATTTAAATCTATCGTTTCTTTTAAAAATTTCTAGATGTTGGAAAACCAGAATCTTTGTTATTTACGTCGACAGAAAATGTATGTTCCGTTAATAAGGTTGGTTTTATGAATGCTGAAATATTTCTTCAGTGGATTCAAATTTTGGCATAGCTTAGCAATATCCATACAGTCCAGAAATTTCGTAGTTTAAACACTGGGTTGCTAATGGAAAATATATCTAATCTGAGTAAGATAATGGGCGAGATGCTTGGGTTGCCGAGCGGCCTCAATATGCAAATCATTTTGCATTGTTTCTTCGTTTCCTGTGATATATGGTTAGTTAAAAGTTAGTAAGCGGTCAAGTTCCAGTGAATTATATTGAGACATGTGAATTCTTTTGTATGGAACAACAGGATTATTTCCAAAATAACGTAGTGAATAAATGAGAAATAAGTTGGAACCATAAATTATGAAGTGAAAAAGATTGTTAGGCAATATTTGAGTGAATAGTTTGCTTCCTCATAAAACACTATCACTTTCAGGACTACTTTCTTGGTCCGCAGTACCAAGATGTATCTCCCTTTTTACGTCCATTCGTTGAAGCTTTGCTGAAGTCGTCGTTCCCGGTTTGGTCCTTTTTGCCATTCAATATCCCGAAGCCGCTTGCGTATGACCCATGTTCTCGGATATTTAATTCTGAAAGCATTGCTGCATCACAAAACGAGCGCAGATATTTCGCTACAAATCAGTGCGAACGTGTTTCGGTTGAAGTAAGTTGATATAATACTGTTCTAATCGTTAATTTATGAAATGGCTATATTCATATCCCTGGATGAATTCGAAAAAAGAATATTGTAGTTGCCTAGTTTTGAGCTTTCTTCCAATCATCAAAAAAGTAGTTTACATGAAAACTAATCTAAACGCACAACATCACTAATTCATAATTAAATGTAATTGAAATTTCCTAAAAATTTCGTGATGACGAAAACATATTGCCGTTTTTTCGTAGAATAGAGAATCCGCATCGAATCAGTGTAGATATATATTTTGCTGGGGCAGTGTAATAGCTTTCATCATGACCTGTAGCAAAAGGCCGTAAAAAACCATGGTTTTTTTTCGACAAATTCTTTGCGACGATATTAGTCTTGCAGTTATATCAATCTTGATGTTTGAGTGCACACGACCAGCGTCTATCTTATGGTTTTTCTTTGTCTTTTTTTTTATTGGTAGTTTAGGTGAATTTTTTTCTAGCATCAATTCAGTGCAGTGAGTGAAACCGTCCGACGATATTTGACACATACGAAGAAATTGAAGGAACCATACAGATATGAGTCACCGATTTCAGCAAATATAAATGAAGCACTGATTGATAGAAAAAGCGTGAAACTAGATCACGATGGAAAACTGCAGATGGATTTGCACGTGGTTATAGTTAACTCTTCGGAAAATTGGAATTCAATGAAAATCAAGTCATCAAAACATCCAGAATCCATAAAAATGGAGATTTCAAAACTCCAGAAACCTCCGTCAACCCCAGAACTAATCCTACCCACTCCTCTGTTTTCAGCGAATCATCGTTTGATTGAACCGGAACTTGGATTATTACCGCCAGTTCCATCACCAGAATTGCTAGTGAAAAAGGAAATAAAATCTGTTTCGGAAATTATTATGGATTTGGTGCATGTTGAAAAAAAGTGTTTAAAAGTAATACCAGATATCAAAAAAATTAAATCGTTGGGGAAGAAAAGAACAAAACTACGATACAGTACCGATTTAACATTTTTCGCAGAATTACAATTGCGAGAATCGAAGATGCTACTGGGAAGTGATTCTGAAATGGAATTACGCAAGCCAAAGAAAGGCAAGAGTGAAGTTTTCGTGAGTTCTTTTTTCTTGCTGGAAAACTCACATTAGAAAAGATTTCTTCTTAAAAGTTTTATTCATGCAGATTTAAGTGGATCCCAACCTGCGGTCTACCAGGAAGCGACGCGATGGGTAGAAAGCAGGCGGGAACTGTTTTCTTTTTCTTTGTTTTTCTTTTTAAAGCTATACTTTGATTTGTTTGTTGGCGATAAAAGTTTATTCGGTTGTAATATTGGTATTCCAAATTCTACCTTTCTTTTTACATTTAGCTTTCGACTCTTGATGTATCATTAATCATAAGGTTTTCTTCACTTTACTGCAGCATAAACTATTTCTGCATGAAAACGCCTATAACTAGGGAATGAAGCCTCGTTTTTCTGATTAATTTTCTTCAAGTCTTTTTTTGAAATTTCGGCAGCTACCTTTGAGCAATCCCTAATAAGTTTTTGACTTTATGAGGAATTCCTAATAATAGACATTATTTCACATCAGCATGTCACTGGAATATGTCACAAAAGTATTTTCGTTTCTCGAGTATTCCTAACGTCTGAGTATAAGAATGGCCTCTGATATTGAAGATATTGCATGGATTTCATTCAATAGGTCCATTCAAATCGAATTTCAACATGCGACCAAGTCATATGACTGATTGTTAACGAAAAAAAAAATTTCTTTGATTAAGAACTGTGCATTATAATAGAGGAATTGCATGCACTACAGATGGAAGAAAATAAGAACTACAGTGACAAAACTTACTATAATATCTTAGTATAGAAAATTTGATTTTTAGTAGAAAATTAGAACGATAAAATTAAGTGACTTCTTGTCATACTCAGTGTTATCACAGTTTTAATCGGTCCTAAAACATACATTATAAAAATATGTCGGATTTAGAGCATGCATGAATTAGACAAATCTGAATTTAAAAAACTGCAAGAGATTTTTCCGGAAATATCCCTCTCACTAGAAGTAGTTGTAGTATTGCTTTAGCTTCGAACACAGTTGGTTGTTTACCCTTTCTAGTGTCAAGTTTGATTCAACCTTCATGTCTTCATCTAGTGACTGTTTGAATGGTGGACATGAAGATTGAATTACGTTAGGAGCCTTGATGAATCAATTTTACCGTTGAATAATAATAATGCACTTCATTTAATAGGTAATTTCTTCGGTGAAGAAAGCGTTTTCAAAGACTGTTGAACGAGCCAAGGTGCATCGTAATAAGCTTTTGGAGCAGTTCAGCAGAGCTATAGACAAAATCGCACGAAGAAATCGGCCGAAAGTTTGGATTTACTTCAATTTCAATAAATGCTGATTTTTTCTTCAAAATTAAGTCACTAAAGTTTCACGTGCTAAAGCATTAGGGACAGTTGAAGCATGTTGAATTCGGCTTCATTTCCTTCATTCTTAGTGTTTAAAATTTTTCATCGTTTTTTTAATTGCTTTTCTAAGGACAAAGTTCTGGAGGTGAAGACTTGACTGGAAAATGAGCTGGTAGGGAGAAATGTGGTAGTATGGGAACGACATTTGGGGTTTTTCCGGTTCGAAATATTGATTTTCTCGAGAAATTCTCTGTTTTAGACTTTTCAGATGGGTAAGAAAAATATTGGCAAAGATCGATGCGTATTAAATTCCACTTGTAATGTCTTGGCTAGTCTTGCGCAGACTTTGGCGGGTATCACTCTTTTTCCTGCAATCGTTGGTCAAACAAATGCCGCTAAGGTTTCCTTTGTTTAAAGCCCCACCAAGCTGAATACGTTTGAATTTTGAACTTCACTGTGCTGTAATGAATGGTTCTATTGATGTTCATACTGTATATGCGAAGTAGTTTGGCTCTTTTATTGAAAATTTGATTGAATTTGTCATGAGTAGAATCACTTCTGAGGTAGGAAGCATCTCTGATCATTGTAGTTGTCGATTTAGTGGCCGAGTTTAATCTTGTCATGATTTCACGAAACCCCGCATCTGTTATTTTTTGTCGAAGATAACAAAATCATTATTATTGTCAAATGGCATTTGTTGAAAACTAATGTAATTTGAATCCCACTTTCTACATTCGTTTAGTCAGAACAGTATAGCACAGATCTTAGACCAGTTTTTGTAATCAGACATACTGGCAACGGAACCATCGCTAAAAAATGATCCTTACGTAGATCAATAGAACCTCAATCTTCGCAAACGATGAAGAAAATGCTACAATAAAATACCATTTTTTAGTATTTTCATCTTCAACGAGGTTTGACTAAACGTTTTTCAGTACATTAATTCTCTACTGGATCTCTCAGCTTGTACCGGTTCACGTTTAGTTTGTGAAAAGTGTTGGTGGACCAGAGAATGCTGTCCAAAGGTTTCCATTGCGATTATTTCTAGAATTCTTGTATTTCCTAATGCCAACTTCTGGGACCAAAGCATTAAACGAAGAAAAAGCAAAAATGTATGCTTTAAAATACGAAGACGACTGTTACAGTTTCAGGAGAGATGTACTTTTCTTCCGTGGCAACGGCATTTTAATACAAAACGGTTTTTGGCTTCACAAGGTCACAAAATGTTTGAAGCATTTGAAGAACTCGGTTGGTCGATGCCTGGAAAGAAACACAAAGGTATGGATCTTGCTATATGCTGTTTAATATGTGGACTGGGAATTTTGGGAAGGTAGGAAGAAAACGGACTTCATAAAATTGTATAAGATATTAGAGCTGTGTGCATTCCGCGAAAGCGACTTTTTGAAGTAGGGTTTCGAAGTTTTCAGCTGGTGGCGATAAACCGAAGTTCAAACTCAATTATCCGAGGAGTTTCGCTGGTTCGGAAAAAGAAATGGTAATGCTTTAGATTTGCATTTTCTTCTTTTCGCATTTGGATCCGAAATTCAAAAAAGTGTCGACGTCGAAAGTGTTTCTAATTTTGCAGCGTTTCCGGCAGAACAAAAAAAAATTGGTGGAACGTTACTCCAGGAAAAGTGATGTCCAAGGCCACATACATTGAATATAACGAAAAAAATGTGTTTTGTTTTTCAACAAAACTTGACAGCTACCTCTTCTACCAGCAGCAGCAGTACAATAGGATTCCTCAGTTGTAAGATGATTGTATAGATTTTTTAAATCTCGTGTATGGAAGTATTTGAATTGATCGTTTTGTTGAATTATGGGCCAATCTTTTTAAGGCTTAAATTAATAGTTCCGGTAACTGAACCACTCGAAAGTTGACGAGACGAATGAGAGCTAAAACATGACCGGGATTTCAGTTTCAGAATGTCGAGGCACACCGGATGCCACCATAAGTTTAATCTGTAAATATTCCATTGTAAATTTCGTACATATGAAGTCATTACCTTCAGTGCTGCTTTGCGTATGTTCAAAATTCATCGAGATTTCCATGTCATACTTCTATAAATTGCTTAGTTTTTTTCGTCTTCGCTCTTTTCCGGTGAAAGAAGAACTAAAAGATCCTTTTTTTGGAGGCATTTGTGAAAGAGACAGCCCGTTTAATTCGAAAACTTATATCTTCTAAAATTTGCTTTTATTAGATACACATTTAAATTCAGTCAAAGATCTTCAGTTCCAACCGTTTCCGAACGTTGACGTTTTCCTATCGCTCATTTATTGTAACATGGACATTTATCTTTTCTCCAGTTGGAAAATATTTTTATAAATGTATAAATCAATAAAAAGGTTTTCTGAATTTGAATCAACATGAAAAAATAGCCTGAGAATTAGGCTGATATGTAAATGATAAGAATAAATTCGCAAACAGTCGCTATCCCGTTATGGCGTATTTGGGTCTCCTGAATTGGTTCCTCCTTTCGACCGGTCCTTCCCATTGAAGGTCTTTTTGTACAGAACACTGGCTGGGAAAATCCGGAATGGTTTCGGTGATACATTATCAATCAGTACGATGATAGCCTATACATTTTCTTTGGGAAGAGTGTTGGCTGATACAGAGTGATACTGTAGCTTTGCTACGGCGATTCACTCACGGAGTGTAATTACTATCAGGTTACTGTAAAGCGAGAGTCGTGTAAGATCCCTCATGTAAGTTAGAATTTTCATTCCTTCAATTTAGATCTGAGATCTGGCCAAAATATTAATGCAGTAGTTGCTAGTTACCGAGTTTGTGAAGGGCGACAGTCATTTGCAATAAATATGCGGGAAACAGGACACTCCAATTATGCACGCTTTCACTGCTTCCCGCACAATGTCGGGAGCACAGTATCCTTCCACTTCGTTTCAGGAGCCAATCCATTTGAAATTCGTGGGCTTATAGGAAGATTCAGAGAAGGGGTGAATAGGATATTACTGGATGGGCGGGGGTGTGTGAATGTGATATATTTCTCCTCTCCATGCACCATTACTGGATCTCATTGTGAATCAACATAAATCAATGTGGCTTCTTTCTAAGCACAGGTAACTGTAAAGTGAGCTAATTAACTACCTATCCCTCCAACCCCGTGTCTTTATTCTGCTTACCCGATCCAGGGATGTTCAGCTAAGCAGCGTGGTACTGTTAATTCCTTTCATTTGTCATTGATTTAACTTTTTTGGATCTCATTATATGCATGTGAATTTTCTCTCTTCACACATTAGACAAGAAGAAGAGTATGAGAATGGTGATTAGTCTTTTTCTTGTTGAGAAACGATATTGTGATAGTCACGTATGGTCGTAACTCAGTCATTTTACTATACCTAAATCCGCTCATTGGTTATGTATTTAAATCTTTTCCTTTTCGGGTTAAGCAAGTGTTTCCGTCTTAGTTTTACGTGGACTACTAAGTACTTTGTGTTTTGTTACATTTTCTCTTCATTTCCTTTGGAACTTTTTCAACTGTTGTAGTGATTAGAATGAGTCACCACCGCTATTGGGAAGTATTATTCAGTGTCTTCCCTTTTTACCGTACCTGTTCAGCAGTTGTTCTGAAATAACAAAGGTATGATGACCTTTTGAAAGAGCCACATAAGATAACCTGTCGTTCTGAAGAGAACTACACCTGAGGCAGTTGTAATTAAGTTATCGCTTGCAGAATGGATAAACTGACAGAATCGCCAGGGCGATATCGGCCGCTATCGCGCAAATATGATACGATTGATAGAAGATACAAATTTTTCAAAGCGTAAATTTTCCTTTTACTACGAAAGACGAAGAATGAAATCTACATCGTAAGACTGATTTCTCCAATTATCAGTACATCTCTACAAAGTTCATAGTTTCAGGAACAGCGCTGCCTGTTTGCAGATGCACTACCCACTACTGAAAGACGAAATGGGGAGACACATCTGTCAAGTAGTTTCTTCATTTTCAGAACCTTATGCGGGTGATTTTGAGCGCCAGGTATTTCCAGCTTCTAAGCATACAGATTCGTTCAAATTCATTCAACTTATGGTATCGTAGTGGTAACGAAGGGATAATAATTTCCAGTCTTTTCAGATTTTGAAAGAAAGGGAAGACGATAACCGTAAGAAATTTGGAAACAAGCAGGTATTTTAATGCTGAGCACATATATTTTATGAAGATGTAATAACAAATTTATTTGCTATGTGAGAGCTTCTTTTTACTGCCTTTAGAAAACTTCCACAAAACAAGTGTCGATAACTTATTCAGGAAGTACTCACCACAGTAAACGATTTACCGGATGATATATTGCTGATTATATTTGGGTACTGTCATCCGATCGATCTGATTAATTGTTTCTCTTTGGTTTCTCGCCGTTGGAATAATTTAGCAAATCATTCTACTCTCTTGAGCGAAGTTCGGGTTCTGGTTACTTACCGTACGTTGGCATACAAAAGCGTAAAAAGATTTTTCGCTAAGGTTGATGTTATTTAGTCTTATCTGATTTTTAACAGCTTATTTTATTTATAATTAAACAGTCGAATTGTAATTTCGTCCCTTCTCAAAAACAATATATAGTTGCTCGAATATTTACACTTTTCGGATATTATAGATTACTAATACCATCTCTCGTATAGCTACAAATGCTTGGGTACAAAGTGGAATCAAAAGTTGTTCAAACATCATTTTTCAGTTTAAATGGTTTTTCAGAACAGAATTAAAATCTTCAGAATAAAAATCAGGTTTCTGCATTATTTAGAACATCCAGATGCCTGTTTTTTGATCTTTATGAAGTGAGAAACAGAAACAGTGGACGAAAGAAATAGTTAAGAAAAGATGTGAAGGCTGATAGAAAGTTGTTTTAAAAAGTTTTGCAGAAGTTAGCAATCGTGAGCATGTTATATTGAAGACATGACATGAAATTCTAAATCTTGAAGATTCCAGCAAGTGGGTTTAAGCGCGAGTAAGAGTTGGGATTAAATTTTCACTTCATTTCACTTCCCTCTATGGTCAATATTTGTACTTTTGAGTTATGCTTGCGTGTATATTTTTCTTCCTAGAATTCGCACCATTTCCGCAAACTGTGCATTGATTGTACGGTGACATTACCGTCCACCCAAGTTAATGAATTATTCGATGTTTGCATGCCCAACGTCACTCATCTCGATATCAGTTCTTTTGATGGTTATCCGTTTACTTTCCTTTAGGAATTTTGAACGAAAGTTGTTTAAAAAAAATATTTTTCTTCCTAAATAACTTCCCTTAAAATTAATTTGTATAGAGCAGTGGCAGTGCTTAATGTATTTTGGAAAATGTTCATTAAAGGGAACACCACTGAGAACAGAATTCATGTAAATTAAAGAAATGATGACATTTAACATGTTGGAATTCCAATCAGCAAGACTTTTACAGAAATGAATGCAACACTGCTGAAGAAATTATCCAAATGTTTTCCCAATCTTGATACATTGCATATGGAAGGAGTCAAACGAGTATGACTTATGTACTTATATTAAGAATTATCTGGCAAACAGATTAGATGTGAAAAACAGATTAGATTTTTCTTAGACATTGTCATAAAAAATGAAAATTTACTTAATGCTATTTCTGTTCAACTCTCTCGTTTAATGCATTGCAAACTTTGAAAAAGCAGCTGGTTTATAAGATTTTTATGATTTCAAATGTTAGCGTTGCAGTGTTCCTCCCGCATTCAATGTCCAGAGGAATGGAATCAAATGTTGAAGTTGTTATTTGAAGATGAAAACACCTTTCCGAAAATGGAGAATTTTTTTATTGGTGATATGAATGAATATTGGGATGGAGCTGACATGAAATTATTGTCTTGGAAACGACCGTTGAAAGTACTGCATATTGAAAATGGGGCGGCTAGAGTCAAGTAAATTTTTTTCCGAAAATTACTTCATGGCTGTTACGGTTGATTTATTTGGACAGTCCGAAATTCGTTTAATATGACTCAGGAGTAGAACAACTGAAGCTATCCACTTTTTTCCAGAATTTTGAGAAGTTTAAGTATGGTAGCATAACATTTATTATTGGATAGAATCGTTATTAAGTTCTATCCCTATATAGTCACTGGAAAACTAGCTTAGAAATAACGGTTCCTTCAGTCAGTTCGGAATAGTTTAATACAATTCGTGTTATTTATTAGCTTCTACGAGATCAGAACTTCTCCATGGCGATTAACACTTACTGAGCTCTATCTTGGGTATTTCATCACGAATCACGATTTTCGCTATATTGGTCTTTTACATAATTTGAAACTTTTGTCTTTGGATATGTGTCTTTATACAGATGATGAGGATATTTTGCATCTTAAGGCAAGTGAAATCTTTAAAATCTCTAACATTCTGCTAAATCAATCTGATCCGATATTGGAGTGGCAATAGTTGAAGGAATAAAAACAAAGAATTTCTCCACAAGCTTCAAGTTAAGACTGCAGTGTTGCGTGTTGATTATTAGCCACCGGATTTCATGGAGATAGTCCTTCAAGAACATGGGTCTCCGAGCATGGTGCTTAGCTTGCCTTTTGCAAAATTTTTGTCGTGACGCAGAAATGTGTTGACTTACTCACCGCTACTAGTGGCATAATTTAGCCTTTCGAGTTGTAGTATGAAAGGGAGTGTATCCTCCTTTTTTTGTTTCTGAAAGTTTAGATTTGTCCATTCTAACAGATTTCAGTTTTATTACATTAAAACATAACTACATTACTGGATCAGATTTTACTGTTGGTGTCCTGATTTGCAGAATTTATGCAATCTGGAGGAGTTTCGTTTAGCATGTGGTGACCAATACTGCAATCTTAGTACAGAAGGAATGATTGACTTATTTACGTTACCAGATAAAGAACCGGAAAAATCATTCCCGTATAAACTTAGAAACCTAGCTCTCACCGAGTTTCAGATGTGCAATGCGGAACTTGTAAAGGTTATTGCCCAAAGGTATGTTTTGTTGTCTTTCACTGTTAATCAGATGGTCTAAGTAGTTTTGCTGGAGTTTGAAAGAAGTCTCAAAGTGATGTAGTGAAGTAATTTGTAACAAGGAAATGAGAAAAAGCAATATGTTCTAGTATCCAATTGGTTTTATTTGCTAATAATAGCATAAATGAGAGAAAAATAGGGTATGATCATAACCCGAAAGCTTATATAATAAAGTGACAAGTTTAGTTGTCCAAAACTGCGAACCCTCAATTTGCAACGCAATGAGTTTATGGGCAACAATATCGTTCAGTTCGTTATCAAAAACTTCAAGTAATTCATTTATTTTCTCTATTTCTTACGCACTTTTTATACTTCCTGCATGTAAAATTGATTCTGTTATTAACATTAGTAATTGTGCTCGTCTGTTCCCTGAACCTCTTTGATGCAAATTCCCTATGGTGAAGAATGATACAAGCTTATGGGTAAGCGTATTTTACTTATGATTATAATTCAAAATGACTTGAAAATGATTTAGTTCGAACCTTATTCCACGCTTCACTTCTTTATTTATTCTTGGGCACTGAAAATGGAATTCCTATAGCCAGGGCGATTAATGTACGTCTACAGAACTTTGTTATAAAAGTAAAATTCTGAAAACTTAAATCATTTTTTAGAGGCTGGGATGCATTTCTTAGTCTTGAAGACTTTGGTTTTTGATATATGGAACTGTTGTTCCATCATTTGTGTAGCTGTTCTTTTCTTGGTATTTCTTTTTTCGAACAGTCTCATTTCAGTGATTTGGTCTTGCTAGATTTGAGCAAAATCGGCGAGTTCTATGAAGATGAAGTCTGGGATAATCTATGTGATGAGAGTCTACCAAATTTACGTTTCTTGAGACTTCATGACAATAAGGTAGAGCTTTATTATCAACGGAAGAATTCTGTGGAATTGTTATAGTGAAATGAATAGATGAACTGAGTCACGCTTAAGAATTATTGAGATTTCGAATTTGCAAATTTCTAATACATAAAACTGTTGTGCAACAATTTCAACATTATCCATTAAAAACTTGCGAATCTGAAATCTCGTAGCGACAACATGATCATCTCACTGTTTAGAAACCTATGTCTGGGACCATCCAACAGTTATTGGTGGGACTTCTGGAAGGATAGGACGAGATTAATGAATTGTGTTTGGATTGCATTGCATAAGTGCACTCGTCATTCATTATCCAAAACTAAACAGAGATACAGAGAAACCCAGAAATTTCTAGGGGCACGAAGATCGTAATTCCTTTCGAAGTCTTATTAGGAAAAAAAACTGTCTGATGTCTGATGGTCCATGGTAATTATCATAAGTGACTTCGCAATTGATATGAACAAACATAGGCGTCAAAAAATGGAATTTTTTTAGGCAGACATTGCGATATTACAACGCCTGAATTTGAAACGTCCTAGATTGTTGATTACAGTTAAAATGAATCATTTTATTAACTGGACCGAAACAGAAAATGGTTACGTCTTCCATGACACATACGATGGCGATATCGACGCGATTATGAACGATTTATCTCAAATAGATGGGTTCGGGTGTTGTGGCACGGTAACTCACTTCCCATCGTCATTCATTTCGGCTTAAAAATATTATGCGCTATGATTTCCTGTCGATTTTTCGAAATGGACTGTGGCGAAACAAGGTAGAGAGAAAACTGTAATTCTAATTTGTTTTTTGATCCATCAGTGTTATTCTCCATTCTTTCCTTTTGTGTTGGTGATATAGCCTTTTTTAACCAGTTACATTAGAAATGTTATTGTTATCATTTGTTAAATTTTACTAGAAGAAACATCTATAATCTACTTGAATAAAAGTTTTCGTATATGTACTTCAAGTGTCAATTGCACCTGACAGCGTCGAATGATTATAGGGAGATCCAGGTTTCCTTTGGGAAACAATATATTTGGATCGTAAAACTGAATTATTTTACAAATTATATCATGTGATTTCCATTCACATGACGGTACGATTTAGAACATATATTAAGCTTCTTTTACCAATGAATGAATCGTTCTTGGTAAGCACATTTCACTGGTTAACGATAACGAGTCAATATTCATGATGTACGCTTCGAACTATAGTGTTAAAACAGTCTTCAATTTTGGACTCAACATTTACCAGAAAGACTGTAACTTTAAGACAAGGTCATTTTAAAATTTGATTCTTCGTGCTTTTTTCATCTTCGCTGCTTTGAAATCTGCATCTTCAGGCCTGCAACCAGGGGATTTCGAGATATCACGAGGGTTCAAACAGTTACCAATACTTTCATCTCAAAGATAAAATTTCAACTTCACTTACCCATATCTAAATCGTTTTACCGCTTTCTTTCTCACGTCTGTTAATTCATTTGTGAACGAACTTCCTGACTTCTGTTTGTTCTTTTCTCTATTCGCAAAACGATCATGATTTTCCCCAACTGCTCGTAACTTTCTCCCCTTCCTTGCACGTTTCGCTGCACGCACTTGAAATTCAGCTATTCGCTGAGCTCGTAATTCTTCCTGTACGATAATGTTTTGGTAAGAGAATAATCACCAAGGAATTATTTATAAAGTAGGAACAATTAAGCATGAATAATACAATGAATTGTAAAACTATAAGCAAGAGGTAACGAAAAACATCCAGTGGCATAGGGGAGATTAATTTCAATAGATTAGATTATTGACACTGAAAAGCCGTGATGAATAATCACCAAAGTAACGATGGAAGGTATTACTCATCTGGAGCATTCTACTCCACAGGCTGAAAACAACAAAGCCTGTATAGACGTGGCCGCTACAATAATATTTTACAGTAATTTTTCTCATCCTCCCTTAATGAAAACTGTTTCCAAATGCCTCATCCCTCTTCGCGAAAAACCAATCCAGAAAAAACTCTACCTCATTTCCATCGTCATCTGCATCATAATTCTTACTCTTCTTTCTATCTGGAAAAAAGAAAGTTGCTTCACACAATATTATGATAAAATCTTCATTAGACACATACAGCATATCTTCCCTACTCCTTTTTTTAGCTCTTTGTGAGGAAAATATGAGATATAAGCTCTCAGATGAACTAACAATCTAGATTGGAGATTTGAAAGTTTCTATACCGGTACTACTTTAAAGTACTAATATTTCATTTAAGTTAGCATTATTACGAAGTTGACAGCTAAATTTTGGAAGAGCTCAAATGCAAAATATCTTACCTTCCACATTAATTAACGGCTTCCGCAATTTTATCCAACATCGTTTCTCCACATTCCCTTCCAATTTTGTTTTACCTCTTTGTAACTCCTCCTGCGCAAGTCGCAGAGTTCTTTCTACTTCTTCCTCTTGTCTAATTCTTTCAATACTCTCTTCCAAACTCTCAATCCTGTTTTTATAAGCTTCGACGACATCTGTAATGAAGAAAAATCCCTTCTCTTAGAATAAGAATTATATTATGATGAAACTCGATGGGAGAATCGCATGAAAATTTAAAAAAGATTAAAAAACTGACTAGCACTGATCAGCCGTTGCTTCAAACAACCTCCTCCTTTATTCGATGCTATAATTTCTTTCAGAATTTTTCGTTCACTTTCACCCACCAAAGAAATGGATCGTCCTACACGACCTGCTCGAGCAGTTCGACCAACTCGATGAACGTACTGCTTCAACGTACTGGGCATATCCATATTAATGACCTACTTGCGAAATCATTGGTTAACATGAAGATTAACGCCTCAATCAATAACGTGGCAGCCAACGAGCGGAATTTAATTAAGATGTATGACTATCTACCTCGCATTTTTGCAAAAAAAACTTACTGTCTTGACACCTTCTACGTCAAGTCCTCTAGCTGCGAGATCTGTCGAAACTAGCACATCAAGTTCAGCTTTTTTAAATCGAAACAATGCCTCAACACGTTGTCTTTGTGTTAAGCCACTGTGGAGTTGACCGACCTTACGAAATTAAATCTGATAAATCACCGCTAAGCTTTGAACATTGTAGCTTCATCCACCAGATAATTTTTTAATTCAGTATTCAAAATAAAAAAGCAACTCATTTGAATGGTTTATGCAGGTACAAATTCAGATAATAGGACTTCTTTTAGACATTCCAATAAATAATTGCCATTATATAACATTCAGGTGAATGTTGCATAATGGCAATGTATTTAAACAAAAAAACTCCAAACAACTTACCTTAACTCCCAGAAGACCCAGTACAATATGGAGTCGCCGGCAAGTTCTCTTCGTTTTCACGAATATTATTGTGTGGTCAGGAAAATTCCGTGTGACTAGACCTAAAAAAACTACATGATAAGGAATTTCAGGAATATTCAAAAAACCAAAAACTAGTACTACCTGCTACAATACATTCCCGATCGGTTTCATGGCTTTCCCGTATACGTACAAATTCCTGCCGAAGATTCAGAGCTGTTTCTGTATTACCAGTGATGAATAATTTCACCGGATTTTTTAATGAGACAGCTGCCAACTCTTCGACCTTAAAATATTGTTCAATTGACTCGGTGAATCAAAGAGTACATCAAAGACGTTATATTAAAAACAAAACTCTTACAATAGACTGCATATAAGCAAACCTCTGATTCACGGCAAACTAAACTGGTAAAGGTTGCTAAATTGGCTGCAAGAGTCAGAACTTACCCTCTACGTTTTCAATCTAAACCACCTTTTAATGTATACGACAAAAAAAAAAAAAAAAAAAATTAATTCACTTTATTATTTTTTTTCCCATTCCTAAATAACACTATGAATATTATGAACGACCATCATCTATCCTTCCCAGTGCTGCACATTAATTAGCACGAAATAATTTGACATAAATTCAATAAATTCAAAGCATAAAGATTTCGAAACATACTTGATCTGTCATAGTGGCTGAAAACAGCATCGTCTGTCTATTTTGCGCACATAAATGTATGATTTCTTTCATTTGATCAGCGAAAGCTTCATCCAGCATTCGATCTGCTTCGTCCAGTACCAAAATCTTCAAAAAGCGAAAGATTCTTAAGGTACTAGGAACTGGGAAATCAGATCGTCGAAAACCCACCATACTTATTCATTCCTCACACTATACCCCGCAAAGAAATGTAAAAATGATCTATGATTTCCGACATTTTTAAAGTAAAATGAATTTTAAAAAAACAGCATTAGAAAAAGTACTTCGACATTAACAAGTGAGAAATTAGGTGCATTATGTAGATGATCAATCAGTCGTCCTGGTGTAGCAATTACAATATCGGGACGTTGTCGCAATGCTGCTTCCTGAGTTTTCAAATCCAAACCACCTTTAATGTATACGTTAAAAAAACCGGACAAAACTTAGTATTTTTTCTTTAGAAAGCATAAATAAACTTTTACAGTAACAAAGCAAAAAAATATTACAATCAAATCTAAAAGGATAAAAGTGAGCAAAAAGAACTAAGCGGAAAAGACAGCGAATATCAGTCTAAATATAAAAGACAGAAAAACAAGAGACAGAAATAGCTTAGAGAAGGTCACCAATTAGACTTGAAATTCTTGAAAATAACTTTGTTTTTATAATGTTTCTCCATTTAATATCAGTCATATCGATATTTCCACATTTCTACTACGAAGGAGATATTTATATGCCGAAATGTACCAACACAAAGAATTTCTTTTTTTTCAACTGAATTTATTTGTTTTGTGAGAAAACGATGGAAAACATTTTCTCATTACCACTGCTAAAATGCAGCCGTTAGCATTTTTGTTAACAATTCACTGGTCTTTCACTGGTTCTTTTCTAAACTATAAATGTTAATATATAGTTTTTTTTTTTACTGCATTACAAACATTCGTCATATAAAGTGGTTTGCACTGACTTGAAGACACCTAAAATAAATCGATTATTGTTGTAAGCAGGAGAAGACATGACACTTCAAATTATGAAGACCAGGTAGAATCATCTATTAGGCTATAGCACAGTGATGAGATGCTAACGAATGATATTAGCACCCGTTAAGGACCATTGTAAAAAGGCTAAGATCTTAGTAGTGGTGCTATTAAGACGAGTCTGATACCATAAGAGATTGATATCATAAGATGATCAATAAATATTCATAGTTTATAAATTCAAAGGGAAACATTAACTACAAAAAGAAATCATAGTAGCCACAGGAAGAGAAAAAAGTGCCAGTTAGTATTTACTATGTAAGCTACCTCTCAATTACTCTCAGTCTATGAACTGGTTTCATTTCACCAGAAAGTAGGCAAATTTGTAGAGATACACTTTTCCCAAATTCAATTTAGAACTGTCACACTTATAGGCAGATTTTGTTTTAATTCTCTATAACTTGTTTTAAATATTTTGTAATTGCTGAATGGAACGGTATAAGACATACTTAAGTCAAGGTACATGAAAGCTGCTCATTCCAGTAATTAGGGGAGTTGTTTGCACACAGTTTATCTCAGCATCCTAAAATGTAAGATAAGTCTCTTTTTTTACAATCCCATTTAATTAGCAACTAGAAATAACCAAAATTCTTACCTTCCACACTAATTCACTACTTATTTTCACCTATTCTTAAGACTTCCGAAACGGAAGAAGATTGATTCCATTGGATGTAAAACATTGCAAAAACAAGCAATTTTGTATTGATTTGAAAAATACAAGAAAGTGACATATTATACCGACAAAGTTTTGTTTCAAGTTTTTCTGAAATCCCTTAGCTGGGTAGTAATTACTATCTCAGTTCACTGAAGCGAATCTCTAAAAACGAAAACTAATTAATTCAGTTAATAATTTTATTCACATGGTGATAATAGTGGACGTTACAATATTGGTGAAGATGGAAATGTTGTAATTTTGAAGGTGGAAATGTTCTAATTTTGTAAATTCAATCTCATTCCTAGTTTGTACAGATTAGAAAGATCGAATTAAAAGACAAAAGTTGATTAAAGATTGATGAATACTTAAGGCAGCAAGGCTCATTTCAGGAGCATTGTATGTTGCTAGATGGCTGAAAGTTTTTTTCTTTCTTTTTGGTGTGTGTGTGTTTAGAGAAGCGCACGACTGCAAAATAGCAAAGATTGCAAATCATGATTTTTAACTGATTATTAAATATATGACGGCTATAGAATGAAATCCCTTTTAATTGCCGAGGCTTAGCAGCGTACATTATATTTGTTCCTATCTCCTGCAGATTGTTTAAGAAAACAATCTGCTAGCAATTAAACAATTTTTAAAAATTCTCGGAAACACTGATAATTGAAGAGGAGAAATTTCTTGGTTCCATTTTCCATTGGTGACTAACCGTTGAATCGCCAAAAGAAACCGAAACCTTTATTGAGTACGGCTTTCTAAAAGGTTGGATAAAAGAAACTTTTGGCCATTTAGCAACATACATCAAAGGGCGCCAGTTGTGAAATGAGCCTTAGTGCTTCAAGTATTTATCAAAAGAACTGGAAGGATGACGAAAATTTTGAAAATTTTGGAGCCCATTTATATTAGAACAATAATAATAACGATGACATAACAATAATAATAGCAATACAATTCATTTCCTTTACGTAAAAGAAAAGTGAGAAGAGGTAATGTCTTTATAGCAGAAAAAGTATCGTCCATGGTTTTACTGAACACAACGAAAACTTCAGTAAATTATACCAAAACATCCGTCTATTCTCGACTAACGCTTGTAAAAGAAATGAATTAACGCTTGTAAAAGAAAAAAAAATTATGCTTGTAAAAGAAATGAAGGAAAGTTGTCGGTTAAATAATACGCTACCTCAAATGGACTGTGAGAATGAGGAGCTAGAAGGGAAGGGGATATTTTTCACGGAAGTAACTGCAGAACCTATGAGACCGAAAATTCGAAACAAACATATATAAATTCTGTTTTTGGAACATAAAGAGAGGAAAAAGAAAAAGAATTAAGGGAGGAGAGAGGAACAAGATACAACAGAGGAGTTAAAGAGATGACTGAATCCCATATAATTCCCTTGTAATTTCATTAAAACTTTCAAAACAATCGTCATAATTTGCTGAATTCCGAAGTGCCTTAGATCTTCCCATGCGCTTAAACAAGCAATCTTCCTCCCAACTTGTAAGGAAAAAACTCCAATCCTCTTCTCCTAATCGCCGCCGAGCATTAACTGAACGCCCACCACTTCTCAATTGCCCCAATTTGAATAAAAACCTGTTCCAACCTACTCCCTCGCGATTCGACCCGCATTTCTCATCATCGCTTTGATGACATTCTTTTCACAACTCCTGTTTCTGCTTCATCTCAGACCCTCTCTCAGTACTTTATTCAACTGCTCTTCAATACTTATTCGTCCGTACCTGTCACTACAACAAATTTTCATTCTTGAATACATTTGGCGCCACCCCCTTGCCCCTCCCATTTCACCAGTACTACCACAGCAGTTCAGCAAAACGCAGTGGTAGTAGCAGAAGGCCACAGAAACGGTCCATTTGGCACATTAATACAACTTCTTTGCTCCGGTCATTCCGAATACTCCATCCAACCCGACCTGTGACTCCTTTATTACCAGCGGAAACATCGAAAACATCTATACAATTTCACCGAACGATCGTCCATTTCATCTTAATAGTCCAGTTGTCCCGCCCTCTTTATGTGTCTATTCTCCTTTTCTATAAGATAAAATTTATTCCACAGGACGGGGAAATTTTGCATTTGATCTCATAAAGGATCTTCGATGACTGTTGTGATGGAAAGAAACCAACGAATTTTGCTGTTACTTTGCATTATCTATGGATTGTGGAATATTGGTACTCAATGGACAACAACTTTACTTTCATTCCTGCAGTGGGATACTATTCACGTTAGTTTGATAAATTATGGAGCTTTTCTAAATTTTAATGCAAAAATCGGTACAAGCTTGGCAAAATATAACTACTCCGTCATATATTCGTTCTCGGTGGTTATCAAAAGGACGACAAAATAACAAAAGAAGAGCTAGAATGCCAAATATTTCCTTAAAATTTGTTGATAGGACTGTAGGAGACAGTAAAAAAAATAATCAACTGTTCAATAAGTACAATATGAAGTCATGCAAACAATATTAAATGGCTTAGCTGTGCGCGAAAGCTGTTAAATTTGTTTACCATGACACAAAATGGCTTTTCCATGTCGCGAGGATCATCTCAAAAGTAATGGAAATAAAAACTTGATTCTGCCGAAAATCAGTTCCCAAGTAATTGTTAACTGCAAGAGTACAAAATAAGCTGGAAAAATTACCTAGGAAAATTAGTAAAGATTGGTGAATAAATTTAATAGCTCCTAATTAAGCAAGAACTGTTAATTATTCGATGTAAAAAAAAAGGGTTCTTTTGGAACATATGCAAAGTTTGCGGATTAAATGTAACCGAAATACAAAACATGTATATTTTCGCTAGAATTTGGATTGAAAAAGTCCTTTTCTTCGACTAGATAATAGTTTTTAAAGCTCTTTGATGCTAGAGAAAGATTAAGAAACTTTCTAACGAGGGAAAAAAACAAATTCCAGGTGATGACAATAGTGGACATCGGTTATATCCAATCATTTGGAAGCTTTTGTAATGCAGTCGGTGCCCTTGTAGTCGGACAGGTGAATATTAATATTTTGCAAACAAATCTTTTTTGATGGACGGTATTACAAGATTGGTAAAAGTAAGTGCTATAAAAAACATGCCATCAAAGATGTTTAGATTGCCGACACAGCTGGTCCAAAAACAATGTTTCTATTTTCATCGGTCATTATATCTATCTACTATTCAGCGCTAGCCTTTGCCAAGTGTTGGTACTCATTCTTTTTCCTGCAGGTGATTTTAAAAGCAACAGATATACTTATTCTGATTTGACTGGAACTTTTTAAACAATTACATTTCGCTCCTCTTAACTTCCGACTGATAGCTGACAAAGAATCGCGATTTTTTCCAGAGCGCTCAGACACTGTCTTATTAGGTACGAACTCATGTTAAAAATTAATTTTATCCCTTCATCCGTCTTGTAGACTCCCTTTCATAATTATAATAAAGTAAGACAATCTTATCCGAACGTCAGGACAGGGAAACAATTGACGGAAAACATAAAAATGTAGCACATGTAGGTTAAACTATGTTCATAAGATTATTAACAGTAAAGCATCGTGGTTGGTTAAGGCAAAAATCAATAAGATAAAACCATTTACAGAGTAGATTATCATTATGAGAAGGATTAAGCTGAACTAAAGCAAAATTTTTTCATTAAGTTGCTAAGAGTGGGTTATCAACTGGATGCAACTGCTGAAATGTATCTAGCAACCATTACAACGGAACGTGAAAGAACCAGTGCTCTAATGCGGCTTACTGTACCACAGGTAACCAGTTCAAGAAATTTTTTTCTCATTTGAAGATCATAAGACACAACTACAGATTAGATAAGATTGATCAGATGCAAATTCGAATGGGTAATCACGGAAAGTGATATAAAGGCGACTTGAAGTATTCTGTGGTTCAACAAGGTGTACATTTCATTTCTACCTATTCTTTACTTAAATTTCACCTCAACATTATAGCTGCATATGATCTGCAGGCTTTGGCAATGTTACTGGGTCCGATGTTTGCATCACAGTTAGCAATTAGAACCAGTCTTCGTGCATCACAATTTATTTGTGGTATTGCTTTAATTGCGACGTTAACTCCATTTATTTACTATGTTCTGCCACAGACACACAGTGTGCCCAAGCTCGCTACTGCCCGACTACGTCCGCAGGTAATGGAATCAGATCGGTTGCTCAACTGTTCTATGAATCTGCGCTTGACCTGCGCCTTGCGCCTGCCCGGCGCAGTGTATTTAACAAGTTAGTAAGAGATGTACTGAGTAATTTGCTGATTTGTTCCCCGTGTTTATTGGATTAATCTTACATTTAGGAACTTACAATTACTTTCCTTCAAAATTCTCAAATGCAAAAATAATAAGCTTTGTTTATCTCTTTAAGCTGAGATTGAGAGTTCCACAAAATGTTTTGTTTAAAAGCACCTTTAACATGATTAGAATTCCATGAAATATAATTATATCGATGTTTCTTTCTTAACAGCTATCTTCCCTTGATGTGAAAATAAGTTCTGAAATTACTTTACTAAAATATAAATATCAGTGAGTCATACTTCAAGTTCTACCTTCTTCAGGATTATCTACCAATGATAAAGCATAACGTTGCTCTTCGAGAAGGTATTTTTTTGCGAGGACTGCTTATTGCTGCCTACATTTGCTATGAACTAATATCGAGGAATTTCCTTCTTCGTTCATTCATGCAGGTTATTTTTATCACCACTTTAAAATTTTGAAACCATAGCTCGATTTGCTCAAACCTAAGTTGCATACAAATAACTACGGAACTTATAAAGAAAAGGAACGCGTTATTGAATTTAACATTAATTGACAATAAAGCAAAGTGTCTCGGCAAAAAGAATTTGTACTCTATGTAATACACTGAACAAAAAGAAATAAATGAAGAGGACGATAAGATAGGAAGTCAGACAGCAACTTTTCAAGAGTTGAATAAAATATAATTCAGAAATAAAATTAGGTATTTAATCCTCAAAATTCATAAGCTAAGAAATTTAATAACTTTGCCAGTTTCAATTTATTCATAGTTTCGAATTAATATGATGAAAGAGTCTGATTCCTAAATTTGAGGGCCCAAATGACTCGGCTAAAGTGCTTATTGTAATGGGTGCATCACTACTAGTGGTACAATTTCTTCTATTGCCTTACCTGCAACGACGTTTCTATCCGCGGACAGTACTAATAATTTCACTGACTGGCCTTTCTTGTGCTTATTCATTAGTTAATTTCATCACAAATTTCAATCAGCTACTTGTCGTCATAGCTCTACAGACGTCATGCTATGCTGTTGCATATGCCGAAAGCTATACACAAATCACAAGGTATGTCGGTTTTTAAAATCAAAAGCGCAAATGCCCAAAACTAAATAGCTAACATCATAACATCAAATAATTAATGAAGCAACATTTATACCACATGAGTCTCTAATTAGGAGAAATCACTGACTGTGAACTAACTGCATAGGAAAATCACTGTAAATTAAAAAAACGCGACGAATGGTGTAGTGGTTAAAAGCAACATTTTGTACCATCAGTCTCTAATTCATATCTCCATGTTCACAAAATAATGAGAAAACCATCATAATGTTGTAATGTTGATACTAAGTCAGTTACTTTCATTCGGATGGTGGTATTTCTCGCTTATGCCCAACAGTCATGTAGCATTTTCTTATCGCATCTCAAAATAACTTCGTTGAATCACTATTTTGTTTTTTTTCACATTTACGGTTGCAGTGCTGTAGACATTACCGACTTGGGGAAAGCAACAGGGTTAGCATCAGCGGCTCAATGGATAACACATTTCATAGTTCCAATTTATACATCACATGTGGTGCAATCATGGCACTATACCTATGCATTCTACACCAGTGCACTGCTCTCCATCGGAGCTCTATGTTATATCACTTTAATCGCTAAACATTCAAATGCTCGTGTACGCTCTTTATTACCATCGATTTGTCTAGTATAGTTTATTCTCCAAGACTGGCTACGGTTGTGTTTTATATGCGTGTAACATAAAAAAAGTTTTTCTATGTCCACTACGAAAAAGCGATTCAATCATGAATCTTAAACAGAGAAGCTGCATTAAATCTTCCATATCTTTAACCAAAAAGATCAATTCAAATCTAGCAATAAAAACAGAAGTCTCACTTAAGCGTTCTTCTGAATCAATTACTGGTTTAGCAGAATTTATAATTTCGACAGATATTTTTCACTTAGATGGGTACAAGTGACGCAAAGCATGTAAACTAATATAATCTTCCTATATTTATGAAAAAGACGAACCTGCACACAAACATATATCGATGCGCATGAACTGCGATAACTGTCGACTAACTTGAAATGTCTGCAAGTAATTCAATTTAAAATGATGAACTGCATACCATGTTTGACGAATAAAGTAACCATCCAAGGATTTCGACCCCATATCTCAGTGACTTACAGAAGCGTAAGCGTTATGCTTGCGATATGTTCCAAAAACATCATGCAAGAGGGGAATTTTCGTGCTTCGTACAGATAAATCAGTTCGACTAATACGAACATCCTCGTTCGTACTACTTTTGCTCAGTACACTCCGCAATACAGTAACTCTTCCGATCGTCAGGTCTCTCAATAAAAAACTTGTCCATATCACTAGAATAATCAAAACCTGTATAGCTAATTCTCTTGTTGGTGTCAGTACAACTACTCGAGTCATCGCTTTTTGCTGTGGCCGATATAATAAACGCTCCAAAACGGGTAACATGAAAGCAGCTGTTTTACCAGTTCCTGTTGCAGAACATGCACAGAGATCACGCCCTGCAAGTGCAAGGGGTATGCATGTACTTTGTATTCGAGTAGGTTCAGTAAAACCGCATGCTGTTATGGCCTAAAACAGATGAGAAATTTTCAAGTGACAAGAATTTCGCTTCTATTGAGTCTTTATTTTAAAAACATTAAATATTATGACTAAAATGCATAACAGCAAAAGATTTGAATATAAGAGTTAGAATTTTATATTTTAGAAGATGTAAAGAGGAAATCTGATTTTAAAAGAACGAAGTAAAGGAACGAAACATTCAATTTTAATTCGAATTTGAGAAACTCCATCCAATATGCCAGTTACCTTCAATAGTGCTCTAGAGAGATTCATTTGATCAAAACTAATAGCTGTTTCTGCATTCAGCGCATTAGTACTAGTGGCATTATCGAAAAAACTATCCGTCGCATAACATTTCCTTTTTTTCGCCTGTTTTTCACGAACATTATCTGAAAATTCAAATAACTTATAGAAACTGAAATAAGAAAAAAAAGATGGAACAATCTTTTTTCTTAATGTTGACGAACAGCAAACACATGCCACTTCAGTTTTGCTCGTTTATACTCCTTGCTTATTTTGTATCCATTCTTTTTAGGAAATGTTGGAAACGACGTCAGGAATTTTTCACAAAATCAAAGATGCGAAAGTACCAGAAATATCCTCCATTTCTTGCACGAGTTCAGGAATCTTCTCCGCTAACCCGGAGCTAAAAAGTTTGACGCGTTCTCGTTCAATTTTTTCTTCTAACGTGCTGCTAGTGTCTTTTTTAACATACGGATGCAGGCTTTGCAATATATCAACTTCTGCAAAATCACAAAATACTGGAAAGTTTCCAAATTTAAAACCTCGAAATCACCAGCATATTTCACCGAGAACTCGAAAGATGAAACCATACTTTACGATATTTCTGACTATTTCTTGTGGCTAGACGTTCTACGGATATTATAATAGAATGAATTATTCGAAATAAATCAAAATACAGAAACTAATTTCATCCAATAATAGGTGGGATTCCAAATCATCCGATTAAACTTGTAGTTTTGATCCAGTTTAGGAAATGTTATTAGTGCTTCTCTTTATCTTTTCCACGAAGGACGAGTAGACTTATTATTGTGAGAAAGTAATGTGTTCCGCGTAAAGTTACAAATCGATAATTTGATGAATAGGTTACAGTGAGGGATTGGCAATACTTCGCAACAGAAGCATTACCAATATTTTTCAACACTTTGGAAAGCCAGATTGACCTTTTGAAAGGCCAGAGACGGAAGACCACGGAAAAGTGAGAATAGCGCGAAAACTTAGTGAGATAAGTAAAAAAAAAAGTACAGTGGAACTTCGAATTAGTCCGAATAACCTTTGTCATTTCCACTGATGCAGTCGAATAGAAATCCATCAGCAAAATCCTTGCTTATCCTTTTCTGCAGCTTTTTCTTCACTTCTAATCCCTGTAACGAACAAAGTTTTCCTTATTTTCTCAAAGAAATGTTAACATGGAAAAATCCTTATATCACTTACAAGAAATGTTTGAAAAATGAGGTAAAAATTCTTGGACGGGAAATGCGCAAGAAAATAATGGAGAAAAATGTTTTTACGGAAGCAATCCCTCAACTGCAGAGATCTTTCAAAAAGTATTCCTTATACCACTAAAAATTACCGAGAGCAACTTTTCTGACTAGTTTCAAACAGTTCAAGTAAAGGCAGCTTTTTCATGCAGTCGAAGTTAAATCCCTGCAATCGATATTACTATCTTAGGTTAGGCTAGTTGAAACTGTTATTAGAAACAACATTGTAAACCACTATTTGGTGCATGTATGAAGTGTGAGGTCAAGATACCGCCAGACGACTCTGTGATCATATATGTTGCAAAAACTGAATGAAAAATTGAAAAAAATATCAACCTCATCAATCTCGTCATCTGTTGATTCTATCACGTCTACAACTTCATCGTCTCCAATAGTTGGGGGATACAACATTCTCTGCAAAATTTTTCTGGGTATCGAGATGTTTGGTACTGTTAGCAACGCCTCTACGTCTTGTATTTACGATGAATGAACATCGCCACCTCCCGCGTTCATCTAATGCCATCTGCTAAATGTGAAAGCGACAACCCGAATAAGTATGTACGCCATAAATTATACGGCCCCTCTACGCACGAGGCTCATCTCAGTTAGCTCGTAGGTGTTTGCGACCTAACAAGCGTTTGTATTTGTTTATCGCCTTCATCCATGTTCATTGAGGTCCTCGGTGGTGCTGATGTAAGGAAGTAGGCATAAGGACATTCCACAAGAATATTCTGCTACTCTTTCTTGGGACACTAATTCGATTCGATACAAACAACATTTATGCATTATCGTTATATAACTAACATCCAATTTAATTTCCGTACCTGCTTCGGGGATCAATTGGATAGTCTATATATATATATATATATATATATATATATATATATATATATATATATATATATATATATATATATATATATATATATATATATATATATATATATATATATATATATATATATATAT